CCCCCCCATCCCCCCAAAGGTACCCAGCACCCCAAACCCATCTGGGTGCTGATGTTCCCATTGACACCGCAGAGCACAGCCCGGAGCCGCCTGCACTGCGCGGTGCTGCAGCGAGCGCTGGATGCCAGAGGCAGGGAGGTGCAACGCTTGCTTGCAGCGCAGGAGGAGGTGAGCTGACCCCAAATGCTGACCCCAAACCCTGACACTTGGTGGTACAGTTCTTTAGGTTGCGCTCATGGCTTTGGCCTGGTGTTGTACACCTGAACCTGGATGCTCTCTGCAGTTCATCGCATAGCACCTCCATCGCTCACGCTCTGCCTCCATCCCCATGGGCTTCCCTTCCCTGGGGGCGCACAAACTGAGTTTCCCACTCAATACCCTGGGGAAAATCCAGCCCCAGCCTTGGAGCAGGAGGTGATCCTGCTGTCTCCCTGCAGCTGGAAGCACAGTGCCGCAGTCTCAGCAGCACACAGCGAGCTGCCAGTGCTGAGAACCGACAGCTGGAGGAGAACAAGCGGGCGCTGGAGGAGCAGCTGCAGCACATCCACACACAGCTGCAGCAGAGCCACGAGTGCCTGAGGGCTGCCATGGCTCAGCAGCGGGCAGAGAAACCGCGGTGAGTGGCTTCTGCTCATACCTGGCTCCTTCCTGGGAGTTGCAGTGGATGGGGAGGAAACTGGATGGGACTCAGCCACCGTTTTGCTTTGGGATGATGTGAAAAGTGTGGGGATGTGGTGTGATTGGGTACAAAAGGTACTAGGAAGAGAAGTCAGGATTGTCAGCATTGTGTTATCAGCGTTGTGCTGACAGGGCCCTTCCAGCACTGGTGCAAAGGCCACAGGTGGGCTCTGCTGTCCCAGTCCTGAGCAGAACAGAGCACATCACTGCTTCCAGGGCTGCAGAGGACCCTGGGGAGGGGATGGAGGAGGTGAAGGGAGGCAGTTTCCATCATGACCCCGTGCTCTGTGCTTACAGGGATGAAGAGGAGGCAGAGCTGCCCAGTGAGACGCTGCCATCCCTGCAGGTACAGCAGGTGTGCAGAGTGGGGATGTGGTGGGATGTCACACAGGGGTTTGGGTGCTTGGGAAGGGGTGAGCAGCAGCATACAGGGCTGCTGCCCCCACATTTTGGGTGGGGAATATCTGGAAACTGAAGCTGGAAAGCTGAGCACCATTTCAAATGGATACACACTCTGCCAAGCTTTTTGTTTTCTCTTTTCCTCCCTTTGCCACAGATGAACCCAGGGCAGCAGTTGTCGGAGATGCACGTCAAGTTGGGCTCCCAGGGCAGCGAGCCCAAGCTCAGGAGCACCCACCACGTGTAAGGGTCCTGGGCCCCAAGAACTGCACTCGCATCCTCCCCTGGCCAAAAATTCCTTCCTCTTCAGCGTTCTGTCCCAGTGTTGTGCTCACCCCATTTTCTGCTCTTCCCAGGGTGTGGGAAAAGCCAGCAGCAGACACAAACACGTCACGGCTGCTCTCTGTAGAAGAGGATCCCTTCCCCGAATTTCTGAAAGAGGAACGGTTTTCTGGCCAAGGCTCTTTGCTAAGAGAGATGAATGATGCAATAGCAGCTCTGAGCAGGCAGAAGCTGCAACCACTGGGAGATGCTGCTCACTGCCCACACGATGATGCTGAGCCCCAAACAGGACCAAGCGGCTCAGCCCCACGAGGGACCCACATCAGTCACAAGGTGTTGGAAGAAGACCCGAGAGAGGGACGAGCTGCAGCTGAGCTTCGTGCTGGGGACGGGACACAGGCTGGTGCGTCTGCAGGAGCTCAGGAGGAGGGGGCAGCTCAGGGAGACAGCGTGGAGAGAGCAGGGCAGAGCCCGGAGCGGATGGAAAGGGTGTTGTCTGTGCAGGGAAGGGGTGCTGGTGGGGAGCAGCAGGTGCTAAAAGAGGTTGAGAGGCCACAAGAGGCACTGGGAGAGAGCACAGAGATGGGCGAGCAGGCACAAGTGGGGTTGGAGGGAGAAGGATGGGAAAAGATGAAGTGGGAAAAGGTGCAGCTCCCAAGAGAAGGAGAAAATTTGGAGGCAGTCCTCAAAGCTCGGGAGGTGGAGCTCCCAGCAGGCAGCTTTGCCACCGATGTGCTTCAGGTGCCAGGATGGGTTGAGGTGCAAATGGCAGCAGTGCAGGAGGTGAGAGAAGCTCCCAACCCTGAAAAAGTGGATGGAGAGGATAGTGGTGCAGCGGGGCACTGCTGGGGAGAGATGGAAAGGACTGAGACTGAGCTGCAGCCCCTGAGTGTGGCTGATGACCTGGGTACAGAGCAGGCAGAGAGCGTGGGGCCAGAGGAGCAACTGCTGGAGGAGGCTGATAGAGCAGAGCCAGGGCTGGAGGGGGGAGCTGGGGCTGCGGTGCTTGGTGAGGGGCTTTCCCCAGCAGAAATCCCTGCAAGGAGCCCAGCTGATGGGCTGGTACAGGTCAGTGCTCAGGGACTGGAAATGGAAGAGGCAGAGGACTCTCCAGCAAGCACTCTGCTGCATGGGATTCCCAGCCCAGAAGCCTTGAGGGGTGGATTGGATGACACAGCTGTGCATCTCAGGGAGGATGCTGAGGATGGAGGACAAGAACTGACTGAGCCTGGGCTGCCCAATCAGCCTGTGTGTGAACTGCAGGGAGCAGGAGCCAGGCAGGCAGAGGGGGCTGCTGTAGAGCTGCCACCCCAGGAGGAGTCTGGAAACCTGGATCTGCTGGAGGCCCTGAGTGGTGATTCCCATGTGAAGCTGTTTGCAGAGCTGAGGGAGATCAAAGGGAGCCTGGAGGCAGAGCTGCAACCTCTGTACCCAGGTCACCAGCCACACTCGGAGCAGGCAGAGAGCATGGGGCCAGAAGTGCAACTGGTGGCTGAGGTCAGTAAGCCAGAGTTAGTAGAAATGGAGGGGGAAGAGGACTCTCAGGTGGACACGCAGCTGCAGTGGGGTCCCAGTCAAGAAGCCCCATTGGAAGGGGGGGGGCATACAGCTGTGCAGCTCACACAGGAGGTTGAGCATGAGAGACAAGATGTACAGCACTTGAAAGAAGAGAGGGAGATGGAAGTGGTGCAGGAAGAGGACACTGATGAGGATGAGCTGGTCCTGATCAGTGCTCAGGAACTGGAACTAGAGGAGGCAGAGGACTCTCCAGCAAGCACTCTGCTGCATGGGATTCCCAGTCCAGAAGGAGCCAGGCAGGCAGAGGGGGCTGCTGTAGAGCTGCCACCCCAGGAGGAGTTTGGAAGCCTGGATCTGCTGGAGGCCCTGAGTGGTGATTCCCATGTGAAGCTGTTTGCAGAGCTGAGGGAGATCAAAGGGAGCCTGGAGGCAGAGCTGCAGCTCCTGAGTTTGGGTGATGATCTGGGTACAGAGCAGGCAGAGAGCGTGGGGCCAGATGTGCAACTGCTGGAGGAGGCTGATAGAGCAGAGCCAGGGCTGGAGGGGGGAGCTGGGGCTGCTGCAGTGCTTGGTGAGGGGCTTTCCCCAGCAGAAATCCCTGCTGGGAGTCCAGCTCCAGGTGGGCTGGTACAGGTCAGTGCTCAGGAGCTGGAAGGGAAGGAGGCAGAAGCCCATGGAGAGAGCACTGGAGCTGATGGGAAACCGCTGTGTGCATCAGGGCTGTGGGAAGGGGCAGAGAGCCCAGCTGTGGCTCTAGAAGCAGCTCCGTGCATGGCTGACAACACAGACATTTGGGACAGGAATGTTAAGCCTGCCCTGCATCCTGAGTATACTCAGTATGCTGCTGCTGAGCATGCTCATCCAGGGCTGGTAGCAGTCAGTGGTCCAGATGAGCAGATCTTGGAGGAAACACAGAGAGAGAGTGCTGATGCAGAGGGGAGGCCTCTGGATGGAGCTCGAGGTCTGGAAGTGGTGCAGGGAGCGAGGCTGGAGGCAGAGGGAAGGATTTTAGTTGAAGCTCAGCATTTGGAACTAAAGCAGGGCCATGATGCCGATGCAGCCACACTTGCTTCTCCTGTCTCCGAGGTACCGTTACAAATCAGCGCGCTAAATCCGGGTGTGATGATGCAGGAGGATGTTCTCATTCCAGATGTGCAGCTGCTAGGTGGTTCGGGACAGGCAGCCCAGAGGCAGCTCCAGGAGCAGGTCTCAGCACAGGCAGACAAGGGGAGGCTTCGCACTGCTCCCCAGCAGCCACAGAAGCCACCAGGCGTGATGGAAGCAGAACAAGCAGCTGCTGGACCTGCTGAGACTCCAAAACAAGAAGTGCCACCAGCATCAGCCCTTCACACAGGGATCCTACAAGGGGAAGATGCTGTGAAGGATCTCTCAGGGATGGCCCTCGGGGACAGCCCACTGGTGGAGGCAGTCAGCAGCGGGGCACAGCTCTCAGGAGAGCAGAGAGAAGAGCTCGATGTGGAGAAGAAACAAGAGATGGAGAAGAGCCCAGGAGGGGAGCCCAGCCATGGAGAGCCAGAAGCTGTGACTGTGAATGGAGCAGGAGCTGCCCCAAAGGGCTCTCTGGAGCCAGACCACCTCTACAACGTGCTGTTTGTTGGGGACTCCCATGTGGGCAAAACCTCCTTTCTGTACCGACTGCATGCTGACACCTTCAACCCGCACCTTGCTGCCACCGTAGGTAGGTCAGCTCTGCACCCACGTGGGTGACCATCACGGTTCCCTTCCTTCCAACCCCATAGGTTGCTGGAGGTCATTGCACACACATCGCTGCTCACACCGTCCTGTCACCAAGGTCCAAACAGAGCCACGCACACCTGGATGCTTGCAAGTAGGCGATGCTTGCAAGTAGGCAATGCCAGCCCTCCTTGACCTCTCTGGGGCACCGATCCAACTGTCAAATATCCAAGGGTTGTGGGCTTCCTTGGGAGCAGCCAGCTTGAGCTGCAGCCTCCACCATGTGGTTCCTCCATCTGTTTTACAAGAGGGAAACTCCACAATATCCAAATATCCCTTTCTGTATCCCAGGGCTGGATTATCAGGTCAAAAACCTCGTGGTGGACAACAAGCGCTTCGCTCTCCGCCTGTGGGACTCAGCTGGGCAGGAAAGGTGAGGTGCTGGGCTGGGTGCCTGGGGAGAGAAACCTGGGGCAGCTTATAGAAAATGGATGTTCTTGCTTTGCAAAGGGGGTTGTTTGGGGAGGGACTCTATATAGCGTGTGGTCTGAGAATAATAATACTAGAGGAAGTCATTTGGATAAAAATAAACGCTCAAACTCTCTGCAGTTTGAGTGATAGGAGCAAAAATAGGGTTTTGCCTTCTTGGTTGATCTGTGTTCCCAGCTTTTCCACTGGGATTTCAGGTTGGCTGTAGGCAATCCCTCCTCCCTCCCTCCCTCCTGGTGATGCTTTGCACTGCCTGCAGGTATCACAGTGTCACCAAGCAGTTCTTCCGGAAGGCAGACGGGGTGGTGCTGATGTACGACGTCACATCGCAGTACTCCTTTGCTGATGTGCACTACTGGCTCAGCTGCATCCAGGTGGGCAAAGCAGGGAAACCCGGCCCCATGAAAGAGGCTTTGGTAACATCTGACATCTAGAACATCCCCCTTTCAGTCCTGGGAAATGGGGGTAACTCACAGCTATCGGCCCAAATCCATGTGCACCCTTCAGGATGTGTCTGGGCTGTGTGTCCAGCTGTGATTCAAGGAGGTGATGCTTGCACTTCTGATCCTCCCCTCTTTCACTGCCCAGGAGGGAGCAGAAGATGGAGTCACGGTTCTGCTTCTGGGGAACAAAACAGACTGTGCTGCAGAGAGGCAGGTCCCTACGCTGGAGGGGGAGCGCCTGGCTCAGGTGGGTGCATGGCCCTGCTGCAGTGTCTTGCCCAGCTGGGGTCCCATTCCTCAGCACTGAATGTTGGTCTTGCAGCCACCAGAAAAGGTGCATTGCACCCTCAGGCAGCAGTCCTGAGTCCATCAGTTGTTGGGTTACTTGTTTCCCAAGTCCTTCTGTTTCTGCTTGACCGTGATGCTCCCTGGCTATTCACTGTTGTATTGAACCATTGCAAAGCAGGGGAAGCACATTTCTCTGTGGGCTCTGTGTCTTCCAGGAGCATCAGCTCTTGTTTTACGAATGCAGCGCTGCCTCCGGCCACAACGTCACTGAGTCCATCGTCAGCCTGGTCAGGTGAGGAGCATGCTTGGGTTTTGCCAAGGTTTTAATGGGCTCCCACCTGCATTTCCTATGGGAAATGTTAGTGTGTCGCTGCCACCGGAGCTGCTACGTGGAGAGCTCGCAGAGCAGCACTGGGATGAAGTGGGGATGTGCTGGGAGACATCTTCTGGGTGCTCTGCATGGCAAAGAGGTGGAAAAAATGAGACTTCTCAGGATGCTGCTGCTTTCTCCCTGGGTTGCTTAAATCAGTTCTGTCTGTGATTGGATTTAGGCTGGGGTTTTCAGCAGTTCTCAAAGCACACTGAGCTGGAAAGGCCCCTGGCCCCTTTCGCTCAATGAATAGAAGAGCAATATAAAATATGAGGGGAAATGCATGGCTCGTTTGCTTCCTTTTTGCCCAGGGCACTCAAAGTTTGTGAAGATCAATTGAGAAATAAGGCAGAAGAGGTACCAAAGCTGCCTCAGAAGAAAAAAGGATGCTGTTGGTGATGGAGAGAGTCCTTGCTGTGGTCTGAAACTGCAACGGCAGCCAGAAAAGCAACTGGAGATGAGGAGAGACCACAGGACGACTGCTCAGAGAAATCAGGGTTATGAACTCCACCAGGGAGGGTGTGATATTGCAGTGACAGCAGCTGAAGAAGCAACACAGCTCCAGCAGCTCTCTTAGACACGTGCATCTCCTCTGCAGCTCAGTGCCCCAGCACCTCTGTATCACCAGAGCCTCCATCCCCTACCTGGCTGCTCCCACCCCATCCCTCTGCCACCTCCTGTCCTCCCTTGGCCCTAATCCTTGAAGGACCTTTTTTGCTTGATGCAATATATGCTCCCATGCACTCCCTGGCAATCCCCTTCTGCCACATTTCGTTATAAAATGATTTTATTACTGGGTGTGTTATGGGGCTGGCTTGAAGAATGGAGTGACTCAGGAAGAACTTCCATGGCTCAGCTCGGGGCTGAGGCTGGACTCGGTGTTCAGGTTACCCACAACAGGATTTTTTTGTGCCCATCTTCCCTATTTCTGCTTTGTTGTCTTATCTTAAAGCAATATAATCCCAAGAACCCTTTGCAAGTCTGGTCGATGAGGAGAGGAGCACCATTCCAGCCTGACCAGCTCAAATGGGCACCTCTCACTGGCTCTGTGTGACCCCCCTGCAGAGCTGCCCATGCACCGAAGCCTTTCAGCAGATCTGCTCTGTCCCTTCCCTAAATTTGCTGGGATTATGTGCAGCAGATGCTGCCCGTCCTGGGCAATCCCACTGCTGCTCCACGAGCAATTCATTTGCTCGCAAAAGTGTAAGGAGCTGAGCCTGAATTCCCCCATTAGATGGCAGCAAATGCGGCTGAACCTTCATTGCTGCTGCAAGCAAAGAACAGCAGGGCCTGAAACTGATCTGCAAAAGAAAAAGCTTCGCAGAGCAGCAGACAGAAAGAAATTTCTGTTCTCTTGGAAATCGTGTCTATAGAAGAGGATTGAATCTGTGCCCGGATGCGTTGCAAGGCAGTAAAGCAGGTTGGAAAACACAGAGGTGGTGTTGGTCTCTATTCTCAGTGAGAGGATGCAAGGAAATGAGCTGGAGCTGTGGCAGGGCAGGTTCCAATTGGGTGTCAGGAAGGATTTCTTCACAGGGGAGGTGGGCAGGGACTGAAGGGGCTGCCCAGGGAGGTGGTGGAGCTGACATCCCTGGAGATATATAGGAAACACGTGGATGTGGCACTTGGGGACACAGCTTTGCATAGGACTTGTAGCGTTGGTTGGACTCTGATCTCAAAGGTGTTTTCCAACCTAAATGTCTGCGATTCTATTCTATGATTACTGAACCATAAAGACTGCTCACTTGCAAACACATTCATGAGTATTTCAAGGAGGATCGAGGTCTAAGATATGAACAGCAATAGGGAAATTCACGTTTGGACTACAGGAACTTTTTTTAATGAGGTTCTTTCCCTTTGAGCTCTTTAAGGCGCCCCACATGAAAGAAAGGAGCTGCCTGAGTTGCATCAGGAATGCAAACCTCATTTCCAGCCCCAAGTCATCAGGTGTCCGCTTCCAATTTGCTTTGTTTGTGCACCTTGAGAGCCGGCAAACTGGGAGGGATCCTGACACGTTGGGACAAATTGTGTTAGGAGTGCCAGGTGCCAGCTTCCAGCAAAGCCAGCGTTTGCTTGTGAATGCCCAGTAGTGATCCTGGAGGATTTCCCTCCAGTCCTCTGGCATCGTGCTAAAGTGGAGTGGAGACTTCCCTACATCATCAGCTGGGGTTGGGAAGGCAGGAAACCCCTAGGGAATCCTCATGGTGTCTGATCGAGCTGCAGAACTCATTGCTGCAGGATGGTGCCGAGGCTGAGAGCTTGAATGAGGCTGAAATGGGGACCTGAGAGCAGCAGACACCAAAAACCAGCCTGTGATCATCATAGCTGGGAATGGCGCGGGGGTCAGGGAGCAGATTGAGGGGTGCAGGGGTGCCTCGATGGAGGGGACACAACATCAGAAAGACATAACATATAGAAGAGCATCCAGAGGAGGGCTGTGAAGGTGGGGGAGGGTCTGGAGGGTGGGACAGGTGAGGGTTTGTCTGGTGGGCGGTGTGACTGGATGATCTCATAAGTCTTTTCCAACCTTGGGTGTTTCTGAGATTCTGTGATTCTGTTTGGCTGGAGGACAGGAGGCTGAGGGGAGGTCAGCCGGAGGGAAGGAGGAATTGAAAATCAAAATCAATTGAGAAATAAGGCAGAAAAAGGACTAAAACTGCCTCAGAAAGAAAATCCTCCCCTCACCGCCTCCCTCCTCTCCCTCCGCCGGAAGCAGGAAGCGGCCGGGCCCGCCTCCACCGCGGGCGGGAGGAGCCCGGAGCCGGGCGGCGGAGCGGGGTGAGGCCGGGGGCGGCGGGGCGGGCGGGAGTCGGGCGGAGGGGGGGGGGGCGGCCTGGGCCTGAGGGCCTCCGTGGGCCGCGCGGGGCCATGAAGGCATTTTCTATGTGTGTTTATTTAATTATAACGATTTTTATTTATCTTAAAGCTTGGACGTTGGCTCACAGTCGGCGGTGGCCGCGCTGTGGCGGTGGGATGCAGGGCCTCGTTGTGGGCACGGCGCATCCAGAGCCCAGCGTGGAAATCTTCCCCTTGCGGCTCTCTGTCTGGTTTTCCCCATAGAAGCAGCCTTTCCCTTCTCGAGGTTTCTCCCGCAGCGCTCCTTGCTCAGTATTTCTCTTCGTAAGGCCCTCGTTCCCAGCCCTGTGGGCGCAGAGCTGGCTTTGGTTGTTTGCTGGGACGCGTGGCTGCTGCCCGTCACCAAACGGAACCTCGAGGGCTGGCAGAGTTCATCGAACATGGCACAGAACGTCTGGACGTTGTGCTGGGGAGGCCTGCCCTGTGAATAAGGCCTGCTCCATATGCGTGTTGCATACAGTGGCCTCTTGTTGTTATTTTCTCAGCCTGGTTGTGTAGGAAGGAACATAATGGATTGTTATTTATATATATATATATTTAAGGCTTCGTCTGTTCTCAGAGTGGTGCCTTCAGCAGTGTCTCGTGTCCCGGCTGAGGATGCAGATTGCTGTTGGGTTTGCCAAGGAGATATGCAGGGCTTTTCAGTGCCTTCTAACTCGCAGGGGTTGTCAGCAAATGTGCTTGCTCAGAGCTGAATACAAAGGTTGGGGTGGAGAGAACTAAGATCACAGAATGGCCTGGATTGAAAAGAACCACGCTGATCATCTATTTTCAACCCCTGTGCCATGTGCAAGGTCACCAACCAGCAGCCCAGGCTGCCCAGAGGCACATCCAGCCTGGCCTTGAATGCCTCTGGGGATGGGGCATCCACAGCCTCCTTGTGCAACCTGTTCCAGTGCATCAAGATGTGTCTCAGCAGTTTATTAGAGCAGGATGCTTCTGCTGTTTGGAAAGGAGGATGCTGCTGTGTTTGACAGCATTTCTGTAGGGATAAATGTGGAAGCAGCTCCAGGCAGATCCAGCAAGCAGAGGAATTCAGTACTGGGAGCTTCACAGGCAAAAGTTTTGGCACGTAGGAACAAGAGGAAGAAAGATAACCTGTCACACACTGGTTGCATTGTCAAGGCAACCTAAAAGCTGAGGGGGAAAAAAGGCACTTAATATCATGCAGATGTGCTGGCTCTTTATTACGTAAATGAAAGAGTTAGTGAAGCAGTGCATTGTTTTTATAGAGCTTGAGTGCACTCCACCTACTCTGCTGACCAGAGGAAAAGGTCCCTGCCTTGGGGAGCTTACAGTCCATAACGATGTATTGATCCAAACCTGCTTTTGGGCAGCTTTGCCAGCCCGTGAGGCTGCTCAGGTAGTGAGATCTGGGACAAATGTTTGCCTGAAATGGAGGGAATGGTGGCAGAACAGGGCTGGGAGCTAATTAACCAGGCAGTGCAGTGCAATATGTTCTCCTTGTGTGCTTTGAGTTCAGTTTTCTTTGTATTCTTTTGGTGTTTCTAAAGCTGTAGTTAAATATTTGACACTGCTGTTGCTGTAACATGATGTGAAGTGTCTGAGTAAGGTGTACAGGCAGCTGCTGACTAAACAAGGTAGGACTGTTCTTCAGCAAGATGGTTTTCCTGATCTGATTCACTGTGTGGCCACGTAAATGTGCAAGAGCAGAACGTGGATGTTCTTGGGATGAGTGAAGCAGTTGCAGAAGCTGGTAATCCTGCTGGTTTTGATCTGTTTTTCTCTGAAACAACATCCTAGCATTGCAGAAAAATATTACAAGTGCTGTGGTTTGAGTTCTGGTTTGTAGAAACCCACAGTTTGGGGTGAGGGCGCTCAGCCTGTTCTGTGCAGACAAATCTGCTCCTCTGGGTATTGCAGAGCTCTGCCTTTGTGGCAGACAAGGAGAGCAGCAGAGGAACAGATTTCTTCTTCTGGTGTCTTAACATTCACCCCTCAGAGGGTGCGTTCCTACAAGCTTCCCTTTGAAATCTCTTTGGGAAGTCAGTTGCCATCAGGTGCCATTTAGTGTCTGTCTGTAGCTCACAACGCAGTTTGTCCTGCCTTTCTGCATGTGGGTGACCTGGAGGCAACCCCTCCGTGGGACACAAGGGTTCTCCTGCCTGCAGAGCACGCTGCTATCTTATTACTGTTACTTAATAATCAGTTGGCCTGGACGTGAGGTTGCGAAAATTTGAACCAATTGCAAACTGTTGAACTTTACCCTGCGCATACAGCTTGTTTCCCTGCCCTCCTCTTATTGCTGACAGGGTATTTAATGAAAACAAATCTATGTTAAAATAAGCAGCTACAATTATAGAGCAGGAGAGCTTGGCTTGGCTGCTGTCTGTGGTGATCAGCTTTTAGTGCTGGCTCTCGTAGTCGGTAAGCAGTCGCTTTATGGCATGGATCGTTTGGAACAGATGAATAAATAGAGTTTCACTGGTTTCTGGGAAGTTCTGTTCATTTACACAATCTGCAAATCTCTGCTGCTTCTTTTGCTGTTAGGAAATTTTGCTGCTTCTTTCAATGCCCTTCAGGGCACTATCTTCATACCGGCCCAGCAGAGATCAGGACTGCAGCTGCCTTGTTTCTTTGTGTTCCTGGGATCTTTCTGCGCCTGCTGGTGTTGAGATGGGTGACTGCAGTGTGCTTTCTGTAATGCATTGAGTCTCTCTCCACAGGGATTTCTCATCAGAGGCCATGGAGCTTTCAGCCAACGAGCTCAGCATCTATGACAAGCTATCAGAGACAATTGATCTGGTGAGACAGACTGGGCACCAGTGTGGGATGTCAGAAAAAGCCATCGAGAAATTCATCAAGCAGCTCTTGGAAAGGAATGAACCCCAAAGGGGCCCTCCCCGCTACCCTGTCTTAGTGGCCATCTACAAGGTAAGGCATCTCTGTGCATGCACAGCACATTTGAGGCTCTGAATGCTCTTACCTGCTGTAGGGAACCTGCTTTGGCAGGGGGGTTGGACTTGATGATCTCTGGAGGTCCCTTCCAACCCCTACAATTCTGTGATTCTGTGAATTTTTCCCTTTGCATCTGAGCCATTTGTTTCCCATTGCATTTTCCAAGTTCTTTGCTGAAGAAGATGTTAAGCATAGCTTTCTTCTTTCCTCCCATAAGCTGGTTTGAAAATAGAAGGCAACCGACTAAGATTTGGAATTACTGGTGTGAATTGAAAGTTGAACATGTCAACACCTCCCTCTCCTTAAATTATTAAAGAACAAAGTCTTTGGATTGATTTTTCAGGCAGTGATTCCAAATGCCAGCACTCAGTGGAAATGTGAGGAAGGAAGGAGATTCTCAAAGTTCAGGGTTGTATAATGAAGGCATCCAAGTTCTGTTTCTGATTCTGTCCTGAGCTTCCACCCATCTTTATTCTCCTCCTAGTCTACAAAATGAACCTGCTGCCATGGTGCTCGATGAGAGAAAAATGCTTGGAGAAACTTAACTAAGAAGCTGTAAAAAGCATTCCCAAGTAGGGGAAAAGATGCTATTCTGATAAGTAGGTAGGAGATGTTACAAGTATAAAGAACTTCTCAGTGGCATAATGATCAGGGGTGCTTTAGTGTTGTCTTTGCAGAATCATCACAGTGGTTTCCACTTAGAAAAAGTAATCATGCTGTTATCTTCCCTTCCTATAAAAGCTGTAAAATGAGGCTGCAGAATGGGAAACCGGGGACCTGAACTTCCATCTTCTCTTCTGGATTTTGCTGTTGGTTCACTCTGACTTTGTCTGTTGGGGAGAAATGCATGGTGTCATCTCTCAAAGGCTTCTTTGGGATTGTGTGGGGGAGGGAGCTGGCACCACCTCTGCCAAAACGTTTCAAGGCTTGACAGATGTTTGCAAAAAGCTTTGAAAACCTGTTGTAAGAGGTATGGAGGAAGTGCAGGCTTTCATTTGGTGAGGTGGGAGGAATCTGAGCCATCTGTGGATGATCCTCTTTGCTTTGGTGCTGGGTGAACAGCAGCACTGAAATAAATGGACAGAGCTGTGCGGCTCTGTTTTGAAGGCTGCTTAATTTTGGTTTTGGATAGCAGTGAAACCGAGTGACGTCTCTGTGTATGTAAAAAGCACTGCAGATAAGTGAGGACCCACAGTGGAAAGTTGGAGGTTCATCCTGCAGCGCCCATCCTCAGCATTCAGGTGTGTCCTGTGCTGAGGACACATCAGCTCACTGCAGTGTAATTAATTACGTGCCTGTTTGTTCTTGCAGGGCCTGCTCACGCTGGGACTGGTCTTGCTAACTGTGTACTTTGTGATCCAGCCATACAGCCCGCTGCCACCCGAAACTCCACTCTCCAGAGCCCATGCCTGGGGCTCCCTCATCGGCCACATCCGGCTGCTCTCTCTCCCTATTGCCAAGAAGTACATGCTTGAGAGTAAGGAAATCATTTTTCTTCTGTAACAGAAGCCTAGAAAGAAATACCGACTTAAATACCATCCACACAAATCACTTGAGTGTCTCCTTGGGCACCAAATGCGATATTGGATTGACACCATGGTTTCCCCTTTTCCTTCCACTGCATTTAAAAATAGCATCCTGGCTTCTAGCCAGGGCACTTTCCCTTCTATTCACTGGGGCTGAAACATATTTTATCTCTTCACTTCATGATTTCCTTCTTGCAGTTCTTGGAGCCACGGTGGGATAGCTATGCTGGGTAAACGTCACCTTTAGGCATACAAAACCAATTTGTTTTCATAGTTGTGTACAAAGTGTGGAAACCTCCAGATGTGACCTGGGCTTAAGAAAAAGTAGCTTTAGCCAAGTTGCATATTGGGAAAGGACTGTGGGCTTGAGTGCCTACAGTGTTCACAGCAGCTAAAGTAACATTAGGTACGGTGTGTGTGAGGAAGCTGGATGGATCTGTCACGAGATGGTGCTGTCGTGGGAGATGGTCATAACAGAAATGGGAAAGTGTGAGTATTTCTCATTCCCACTTATCATTTCCACTGACTTAGGCTAGCACCTGGCAAAAGCATGGGCTCTGTGAGTTATTTTCAGCAGGGCTGTGGCACAGTGCTGATTGTCTGTTGGCTCACTGTAAAAACAAACTAATGTCTGTGCCCTCGGGTGGTTTATATTTAGCATGAGCAGCTCATTGTGTTGGAGCTCTCTGTTTGGGTCTGACCTTCCTGCTGTAGCTAAAAATGCCTCCCTGAAATGCCAGCACCATTCTGCATTCTCTCTGTGTCTCCCTGTGTTCCCCTGACGTGTGGCTGGCTGTTCATTTGGATTTGTATGGGTGGGCTGGGATATTCCCATTGTTTGCTTCCTTCCTTACTCATTGGGATCTCTCATAGAGAGGAAAAAACAAAGGTGAAGTGATGGCTCTGATGGCCGTTTGACACTTCTTTATCCCTCAGATCAATTCCCATATAAAAACTAATGCTCCCACCCTTTGTGTCTTCAAAGCCAACTCTATATTTGATGGCCTGTTATGTGTTGGTGTGTTTACGTGGGTCTGTGAACACCCCTCTGCTTCTGTATGCAGAAGGAAACAAATGGAGACTTTTGTGCCCAGGCCTGGGCTGCTGATGTGAAAACCAGCTGATCAGAAAACATCCAAAGGGAACGTGAGGTTCTGGGAATCAGGATGTGAGGTGGTTGTTTAAATGCACATAAAATCCCCCGTGCCTCCACGAGTTCTGGGAATCTTACAAGAGTAGGGGATCTTGTAAGCAGGCCTAGCACTTTCCATTTGTATAGAAGACACCATGCAAGGAGTCTGCACTGCAAAGGAAAAACACAGCCCAGGGACTCTTCTTCTGTTCTCTGAGTTGCTAGATTAATTTTTAGAAGGAGCTGAGGCTGAAACCTCTTGTGCTCAGGCACCAGTACAAGTCCAGCTTGGGCTGTTCATGCTGAAAGCCACCCCTTAGCAGTTTGGAGGCCGCCCTGGCCCACCGGCGGTGCTGGCGGCCTTCCCTTGGCCACACAGCCCAAAGTGGTGTGGACAAAGCCTGGATGCAGCCAGGCTTGTGTGGGTGGCTCATTTCACTTCCTCTGGGGCCGGTGGGGGCAGCCTGGCTGCCGTGGGGCTGAGGTCTGGGGCTGTGCTGTCCGTCCTGTGCCTGCTCTGGAAGCAGTTTTCCTGTTTGCAGGTTTGCAGGTTGGAGCCTGTTCCCTTGGTAGATGTGGGCTGGGCAGGCAGGTTTCCCCAAGAGCCCTAAATCAGTGTGATGACAGCACTTAGAGGTGAGCATGGCTGTGGGATGGCTGCTCCCCCTCCCTCCAGCTCAGGGTAACCCACATTCCTCCTAACCTCCATCCTAGTCCCTTCCACCCCAGGAGCCATGCTGTGGATGACAAGGGCTGCCTGTGCCAGTGGCTGTGGGAAGACCTTTGAGCCTCCACCTCACAGCCAAAGCGAAGAGTGCAGTGTGTGCAAAGCTGTGTCTGTTGCATTAGGTTTGTAGGATTGGGTCCAAAGTAAATTTCCTCTTTGACTCTCTTTCTCTTCTGCTCCTTGCCTTCTTTATCCCTCAGATCAATTCCCATATAAAAACTAATGCTCCCACCCTTTGCGTCTTCAAAGCCAACTCTGTATCTTTGGGTTTGGCCCCTGTGCCTCTGTTTCAGCTGTTTTCCCAAGGTTAGGAACCGAGGTCCCTTTGGTTGGGGTAAGGTTGTACCCAAATGTGGTTTGCATTTACTCTTCCTGAGCTCATGTTCGTGCAGAGCTTGTGGAAACCCCAGTGCTGGGTCACACTGCCTGCTCTGGGCAGGGTGAGTGCCTCTCATCATGTGAGCATTTTGCTTTCTGCTGGACATCTGAGTGCCTCACATTGCGCCTATCCCCAGGGAGGTGGGAGATTTGCTGACCTTTGGGGTCTGTGTTTTGTAAGGAACACTGAATTTTGAGCAGGCATTTGGGTTAACACAGGATTCCCAGAGAAAGCAGGGCCTGTGTAACATGGATTCATTTCTTTTTTCTGAATATTCTGGGATGGAGAAGTCGCTCTACCTGTGTTTCAGTTCTCTCCCTTCCAAGTTGGGCTATGAGTGCTTCCTTTTCCCTTGCAAGTGTTGGGAGGAAATGCAATGAACTCCTTGAGTGTGTAGTAATAGGTGCCAGGTGAGACACTACATGTTTAGCCGTGCTCCTTCCCTTTGTGATGCAGTGTGACATCTTTATAGTTCTTTTGATATCTAAATATGAATTTAGGTGTCATATTGGTAACTGTTCCCTGCCAACCACACAGAACAAGGATGTGGATGAGCAGAGCATGAATTGTTCTTACATTATCTCATGTATCTGCCAGTGTGCTAAGTCCTTGCAGCTCAGAAACCTTGGTCAGTGGTGAATAGGCTCTCATCCAACAGTGTGACCATTTACAGGAGTTGTTTCCAGCATGTGGTGACCTAAAGGAATAGCCAGCTTTGCTTCTAATAACAAGACCCTGTCCTGACCAAATATATCCGACACAGTTCAAAATCAGCTGCATAAGTAGCTGCTCATTGCCTCAGAAGTCAGATGCAAGCATACATGTAGCTCAGGGTTGGAAAAGTGATCCTGTGCAGTTATCCCCAGCTGAGAGATGACTCCTTGTGTTTAAAAACTCCCTTTTGCATAGACCAGAAGGGCTAGAAAACATGTTTGTTGGCTTTATTCATAATCTGTTTCAGAGAAATGGACCCTGCTAGAGGAGCTGTGTTTAAGCAACACCTTGTAAATGGCATGTATCACACTGGGGGGCTGTCAGGTGCCTCTGAGAGCTCTTTGTGGGGATGGGTCACAGCAAGCTGGGTTACTGGGGCTGCTCAGCTGGGAGAAGACAGCAGCCTCTGCCTCTTGGCTGGCTACCTTCAGTTTGGCTCCAGGCTTGCCTTGGCGCCTGGCCAGGCTCTGGCTTCTTTCTGGACTTAACCCTTTGCAGGCAGCCTGTGATGGGCCAGCCACTACCAGATTTCTCTCTGTTCCAAGGTTGTTGCCTTCCCTCCTATTGTAGCCCTGCAGCGTGTTTATCCTTGGCTCAGCTCCATGCAAAAAGGGAGCATCCAGCATGCCTGTTTTACCTGAGGGAGAGGTTCTGCTTCCTGAGCTCAGCGTGGGCATAGAATCTAAGCATTCAGTCTGCCTTTCTCAGGAGGTTTTGCAGCCCACACTGCATCTGACCTGCTGGGTTCACTGATCTGTGAGCCCAAGGAGCGTGGATCTGCTTTGAATGGAAGCTTTGAACAAGAAAGCTGCTTGGGACATAAAGTAGGGTCTGATTTCTAACTTGCTCATCGTAACAGTCTAATCACCATACTGCCTTTCTTTCCTGCCTTCAGCACAGCCCTCTCATCTTGCTTACAACGGATCTTTTTTTTTTTCCTCCCTAAAGAAGGTGCATTTTGTCTGTTCAAGCTCTTCTGCTCTTCTATCTGTGCAAACACTCATGTTTCCACTTCAGGAGCTTGTGCATGTTGAGGTCTATGTGAGCATGGCCTGGGTTGCAGACAGGGCTTGCCTCCATCCCCTTTCAGCTGCCCATTTATCTGATCTGTGTGTATGTCAGCATCCTTTTATGACACAACCTGAAGCAGACCAGCAGACACCTGTGTTGGCTCATTCAAAGGAGGATTAAGAAAAGGCTGATGTTGCAGTGCAGTGAGATGCCAAGCTGTTTTCAAATGCTGCCTTACTTTGGCCTCAGTTCAGCCAGTGGAATGTTTATTTGGATTTGCTGGTAGTAAACTAACTCCCAGCTAACTGGCAGTCTGGAACGTGAGGAACTCTTCCTGTTGCTTTTGTATTTTGGTGTCTTCAGAAGTTCTTGTCTCCTTGTTTGCCAAGTGAATTCTCATTTTGGTTTACATCCCAGCAAAGAGGGATTGTGCCATGTACAACCTGTTGCAGGGGCAGAGCTCTGTGCTGATGCCTTGGGCATGTCAGACCTTCTGCAGAGTCAAGTGTCAGGCAGCTGGAAGCAGCTGAGAGGGATCTGCTTCAAAAACATTCTGTTCCTCCAGGCCAGACACTGCCAGAGCAGCACAGGGCACAGAACCAGAGGTGCAAGTTGTGGAGGGCTTTCCTGACAGCTTCATCCCTGCCTTCAGTTTTGTATATTGGCAGGTGAAGATTTTTCCTGGAAGTGATGCTCTTTTGTCCCACAGGACTGTGAGTTCCTCTTGGGCTGGGCTGAGCAGACTTGATTTCACAATGGCTTGTTGGATCAAAATAATTTTTGTGCTTGATTGGAGGTTGACTAATCACCCTTGGGTTGTTTGACCAGCCGTTACCCATTAGTGACATGAGGGAGCAGTTCTTCGAGCTGTTGATTTTTCACTCAGTTCAAAAATAAGGGTTTATTAATGCATTCACTTGTAGCTGTTATTTTGTTGCTAGCTTTTCCTGAAAATGCTACAAAGCAAGCTGGGAGTTACTTTCTCCTCCAGGCATAAATATGTTCAAAATGGAGCTACAGAAGTGTTCAATGTGAGAAGGAGGTGAGGATCTTGTGCTGAACAGGGGCCCTCGTTGTGTAGTGTACATTTAAAACCTCACCGTGATGCTTTCCTTGATCAGGACTTCTACACTACAACTAGCAAGTATTGTTTATGACTTATTTGGGAACCTACCAGTTTAGCCTGACTTCAGATTGATATATGATTGATATATAATAATGAATTGACGTCTGTGAACTCCTTCAGTTGTTTAAAATATAATTTTAACTTCCCATAAAGTCTGGGGAAGACAGTGATAAGCTTGCTGCTGAAGGAGATACGAGCTGTTTACTTGAGGAGTGTGTATGTGTAAGTCTGCAGAGATCCCAACACAGCTGGAGGCCATTCTTGTCTCAGAACCAAGGACAACCTGACCACAACCTGGTGGGGGGCCAGCAAGCCGTGTCCACACCTGCAGCTCTGCATGCAGAAAGGTTTATGTTTGCAGCACTTTGTTAGGGTCCGAAGCTGCCCTTGGCTCCACGTGTCTTCCTGGAGCAAAAGCTTTCTCTGCCAGATGGTTTCCCTCTGACCCACTGCACTAGCAGACTGATACTGGCCTCCTGTGTGGACCCTTAAGAAAGCAGGGCTGTTGCTGAGGCCTTGCTGCTGCTCTCATATCTACGTGGGCACGTTTCCATGAGTTTTGTTGCTTCAGTGCGGTGGGCAGAAGCAAGGCCAGGTCTTCTCAGTAACCTCAGGAGATCCAATGTGATCGTCCCCACCCTGCATCTCTGGGGCTGCTCACACACACCCCTCTGTAGATCTAGGGACAGCCAAAAAGCTTGGGAGATCCTCTGGAAACGGCCAAGTAGGGCGGGGTGCACATGTTAAACTGATTGTAAATTGAAAATTATTTCTCTGCATAGTGGAAAGTACAGCCACGAACTCCTGGCAGCATTAATCATAGACGCGTTTTAAGGGATGTTATCTCTTCATCTGTGCTATGCTGGCAGCTGGAAGTCCACAGCCCTGGTGCTGCTAGGACCTATCCAGGCACAGGGGAGAAGACAGCCCTTGTCCTGCAGAGCTAACGAAGAACAAAAGCAGATATTGGGTGAGTGTGATCAATGGGGAGCTGAGGTCCTGTGTGACAAACCGAAAGCTGCTCCTCCGAGGGCGATGAGAAAGCACAAGTGCAGAGGAGAGGTTTGCTGGGGCTGGCCCACACTCGTGTCACGTAATGGGTAGTGGAGTGTGTCACTGCTACAGCTGCTTCCCTGCAGCCAGACTCCATAGGGATAGCTGCACACACCCAGCACTTCAGTGTTTGCATGTGAGTGGATGGGACCGTGGCGTGACGGCTGCGTGGAGATGGAGAGTGCATCTTTCAGGCTGTGTGTGCACAGGCAGTTTGCTTGGCTTAAACCAAAACAATCCCCCAGGGTGTCTGGGCAGGGTGATAATGTAAAAGGAATGCAGGGAGTGTAATCGAAAGGGAAGAATAAGCAGCCTTGGGAAACCTCCTGCTCTGGTCCCCAGTGTGCAGTTGCGTGCCCTCTCCTCTATGTGAGGTCCCATCTCCCTCCCTCCTTTGGAAGGGCAGGCCCTCCATGCTGTCCATACTTGTCATGCCAGTCACACGCGTGCTGGTGCACAGACTAACACCCTCAACAATCAATCTAAAAGATTAATTACCAAAAAAAAAAACCAAAAAAAAAAAAAAGAGTCCCACAGTCCCACTTGCAGCATTTGAAATGCGTCTCAACTGTGCTCCGCTAGGGTTATTCATGGGGAAAAGAAATAACCTCCTGAATCAAGCAATTGAGAATGCAAATATCCCAGCCTGGCTCAAAGGAGGAATCAAGCTCTGTACTGTCAAAGCTGATTAGCATCCAGCTATGTGGGGTGCTGCCTTGAGACCTGGGAGAGAATTTTGGGACGTCTGAGCTTAAAGCTTTGGGATGAGCTCTGAGTTTTGCAGAGAAACAGATGATAGTGGTGTTGCTCTCTGCATCATGACAGACTATAAGATATGTTTTCTTGTTCTCTTCTGGTGACTGCCCTTCCTCTGGAGAGATCTTTCAGCCTTTTGTTTCTCATTGCTGACCAGCTGTTTTTTGTGAGTTGAGTTTTTTGTAGTAAAACCGAAGCTTTCTACAGCCAGTGGAACAAAGATTTTCTTTTTTCTCTTGTGAGCAGGGGAGGGAAAATGCTTTGGAACAGTTTCTCATGGGAGCAGGACTTCTGCTTGCAATCAGGTTTTTACACTCTGTTTTTCCTTTTTACTCCTTTCCCCAAAACCACCGTGGATGCTTCCTCCAGCAGGACTGCAGATTGCATCGTGATCCCTTCCCATCCATATCGCAGCAGTAGGGTGGGAAATTGCAGCATGTGTGGTTTGATTGGAGATATTCAGAGGAAAAAAGCAAAATGAATCCCAAAATGAATCCAAAATGAATCCAGACGATCCAAAATGAATCGTCTCCTCCTTGCAACACCCCCATGAGCCTGCAGCCCCCCGTGACATTGCTCTTTGTCTGCTGCAGACGTCAGAGGGAAAAACGAAGCAAACGCTTTGCTATTAAATGGTATTCATCAATTCTGAGCTGTAAGCAGGAGTGTGAGCGTGGCTGGATGCCACAGTCATAGCACCAGGCAGGCTGCAGGCCTGAGGAGCTGCTGTGCATCACTTCTCAACCATTTTGCAGGCAGGCTTTGCTGTCTCCTCTTTCTCTCTCCTGTCTCATCCACTCCGTTTCCCTGGGCGTTCTGCAGCAATGTCCAGGAGGCAGGAGCTGTTTTGACATGTGCTGGCACTGCAGGGAGGGCTGGGCCTGCTGTGAAGACAGATCTCTGGACTCCTCATCTGAGGCATGTCCAGGGCCTCGGGTTGCCCTGAGCCACCCTGACAGATCAGGTGTTTGGGTGGATTTGCTGCATCTGCCCAACTTCACATCTCCCTGTAGGACTGAGGTTGTAACGCCACGGCTGTCGCTGCCACTGAATCAGAGCTGTGCCTTCCTGGCGTGCTGGCTGCAGCTGTGGATCCCTTAACACAGAAATACATGGGATGTTCAGCAGTGTTTCCCCTCGTCCTGTTTGTTCAGTACTGCAACAAGTCACTTCTGTGAAGATTGACTTGCTCTTCTGGGCTGGGCTGCAAGTTGAAGGAGGGAGGTGAGCTGTGGATGTTAAGTAATGGTTTCACTTAAAACCTGTAGTTTTGAAGATATAAATATGTGCAGTGTTCACTGCAGGCCAGTTCAGCTAGTTTCTGAAGCTTAAAATGGACATGGCAGTAGTGCAGGGGGAAATAGGTGAGTTGTTGCATATATTGCCAAGATTTTCCTGATACTGGGACTTTTCTCCCCATTTTATCTTCAAGTCAGTGCATGAGAGGAAGGAACACATCAGCACCACGTCTTGCTGAAATCCCACATTTCCCAGCAGCATCTGCACATCACAGATGGCAAACTTTGCCCAGGACAGAGTCCTTCTGAGCTAATGCAGGTGGAAAGGGGAGGGTTGTGGTTTCAAGGATGTGTTAACAGGGTCTGTGGCACCAACACTGACTGTTATGTTCTCAATGTGGAGTTCTATTTCTGTCTTCTAGGTGTCTTTTTGATAAATGTTTGGATTGTTTTGAACAACTTACAGGCATTGGAAACTCTCCATGTTTCATGTTAGGAATAATGAGTTTATCATGGAGTTTTATCTCCTTTCCGTCCCGTTTTTGGTCTAATTAAGCTCATTTCTCTTGTTTCCTCTCAAGAATGCCAGGACTGGTGGGCAGCAGGTTGCAGACAAAACACTTCTACACTTCCTGCAAACTGCACAGCATGTTCTACTGTGAAAAGCCTTCAGATTGTGACAGACATTGGGGAGCTATCAGAAAAACTCCAGGGGTCTCAGCCTTTTCTAACCAAGGTAATACCTGGATTCGTAATTCATAATTAATTGAGGTGGAATGTACACCTAAGAATACATTTAGCCCCAATTTAAATATGTGAGGAGGGCGAAGAGCTGTCTGCATCCCTAGCAAGTTGTTCCTCTGATTAATTACCACTGTGGTTGGACACATAGCAAACTTGGTGGCTGTCACTCTTGGATGTTCTTCAGTGGATGGAAATGGGAGAGGGGAGAAACCCTCAGTGCAAGGCTTTTTATTTTGTTTCTGTGTTGTTTAAGACAGGACAATCTCTCTCATACGAAGAACTAAAGCACTTTCAGTCCCAGGATCCTGAACTGGCAGAGATTATCATAGAAGAAAATTCATCTGAATTGTGGAGCTGCCTCCCAAGACAGAGCTTCCCATTTTTCCTTCCTTGGTGGGTCAAAGATGAAACCATGCAGGTGATAGATGTGTCCATCTGTGCTGCAGGGCTGCACAGGCTTTGTCTGTGTGAGCTCTCAGGAGCTTGCTAGTTGCACTTTAACAGGAGGGAAGGGGAAGAGGTGTGGGTGACAGACTGGTGTCTGCCTGCTGACTCTGACTTGATCCAAGCAGAGTATTTATGCACTAAAATGAAGCTCTGCGTGCTGTGGCTTCATGCATGATAAAAATATCCCAGTGACTGCTTGGTCCTGTTCTTCAGGCCACGTGTTAATCAGTTGGGCTGTGGTCTGATCACCTGTGGCAACTGATTTGCATGTTTAATAACCTCTGGAAAGTCCTCCACTGTCTCTATTGGCTGACAAGAGGTACCATGGCTTTTGCAAAGCGCCAGGGAAGCCTGCAGGATAATTGGATAATTTGAAGGGAAGAGGGGAAGGAAGTTGTTTAGATATCCACAGTGTGTTTGTTCCCTGTTTATATTGTCCTGCTGCACGTACTAAAAGAGCTTAGGTCAAGAATCTGGGAAGACAAATTTTACTCCTAAGTGATGTTTGTGCTCTTAGCTTCTCTGGTCTGCCCCCACATCCCCATCCGAAAACAGACTGGTCTGCCAGCATCTGTGTTTATCAAGGATCAGTGTTAGTGAACAGTTTTGTTCTTGGAAGTATTGTCATAATGTGATCTTTCTGTAATACAATGTTCTTCTTGTTGGGCTTTTTTCACTTATTTTTTAGGAACAGGTCTGTGAACAGAACTCAGATTCTGCAGGAATTTTTCCCTACTTCCTCTTTGCTGTCTTTCCCCAGGACAGTCTCCCTGGAGAACTGCTTTCTCATCCGCCATCCAGATTTGGGGAATAAGGTGAGAAATTCATCCTGGAGCCATTGTCTCCCTGACTGTGAGTTGTCCTTCAGAAGCTCTAGGCCTTTTGGGGATTTGCATGTCTTCAGTTCTTCCCACTGCTGTGCAGTGTGGCATCTCAAGGTTGCTGTACCCCCCAGAACTGAAGAGAAAGCATGTTGTGTCTACTTATGTGCTGCTGGGACACCGTGTCCCAGACCTCCCTCAGCAATAAGAAATGCCTATGGGGTGTCCCAGCTCCTCACATTTACGTCCTGGTCTGTGTGCACAGTTGGGCACAATTCACTTGAAGGCCCCTTCTGGGAGTTGTTCCTGGTAGTAAGTTCTACCTGTTTTGGGATACCTGCAATGGGGGCACGTCACAGAAATGAGTGTTTCCAGCCTGATCTTTGTTTCCATGTGAGTTTTGTGGAGGAACTGCCTTGGGAGGCTCTGCTTTGGTATCTGAGGGAGCAGCAAACCTGTAGTTTGTGCTGCCTCACCTCGTTGCAGGGCAGTAACTTGCCCTTGTTTAATCAGATTCAAGAAAAGCTGGCAAGGCTTGTGAAATATTCTTCTCTCTTCCTAGAGCTACAGTTTGCACAGCCTCTTTGTTGTTGGAAGTGGACAGCTCACCCTGACTGTTGTACCTCTGGACAAGTGCAGAGGACACTGCGAGATGTTCAAAGTGGATCTGGAAGCTGGAGATTTGGGTGAGTAGCTGTGCTGTAATCTGCAGGCTCTGGGAGCTGGGTTTTTCATAGCTGACACCTAAGGATGTAGTGTGTGCCTGCAGTGAGTGTTTGTAGAAAGACAGAAGCATGGTGATTTGGGGCTGGAATTCATGGCCTGGACCACAACTGCATGCCATGAGATGCTGAGTGTAAAGATTGCTAGAACTGAGCTGCAGGGGCTGCACAAGACACAGTGCTCTGCTGGGTGTTACAAACTGAGGGCAGGGGCTCAAAGAGCTTCTGCGTGTCTTCTTCCCTTCGTGGGAAAGGCAAGCAGTCGTTAGGCATGAATTGAACTAATGGTGCTTCTTCATTGCATCTCCCAAAGGTTATGCCAGCACGGATTACTGGACGATGAGCTTCGTGGCCAAAGGGACAGAGCCAGCTGTTGTTTGTTATGGAGCTGCTAGCTAAGGACTGTGGCATAGGAAAACAGAGCTACTTCCAGGGCAAGAAGACTTTCAGCTTTGAAGCCAAGGCAACATCTTGAAAACAATAGAGTGGGGCAACTGTGACAGGCAGCTTTGCCACCCTGCATGTTTACAGTGTTAAAAAATGACTGTTGTCCTGACCCTTGAGGTAATTCTTTGCCTATTCTCAGATGTATTTTTGGAGAAGCTCAAGCTATTTATGACCTTTCCTGTCCCCTCAGGTAAGCTGTGGGCTGGCAGCAAGGGTTTTTTTCCAGGAGCAACAGAAGGGTTTCTCAGGATGAGATTAATCTTGTGTCCTTTCTGGATTTATGGCACTTCTGAAACTTCGAGGGGGGGGAAGAGGGAACACTGGGAGTGAAGGCTGTGTGTGTGACATTTCTGTATACATTCCTCCTGGGGAGGAGGCTTGAAGCCTGCCATGTCAGGCCATCTCTATAAAGGGAATGAATTGACAGATCCCACCTCCACCCCATCTCTCACACGTGTGGCTGCGTGCCTCAGCAGCGCGCCCTGCATCGCCAGCCTCAGCTCTGTGCTTCTGGGCTGCCACAAGCACTGCAGCCTCAGTGCAGAGAGCCTCCCTCACCGCACCATTCTTGTACCAAATGGATCAGTTCAGACCTCTGTGATCACTCTCCTGCAGTTCTCTCTCAGCAGGCTGGAGGTGAGTCAAACTGTGACTCTGCTTTCTTCCCCCGCTTCTTTTCCTACGACAAAAATGCAGGTTTCTGTGAGGTGCTGAGAGTGCAGCAGTGGTTCTGTTTGGAGACGGGCCTGGATGCAGAGCAGCTCTCTGCAAGATCATCTTCTGATTGTGCACCTGAGACGTGGGGGTTGTGTGATTGCCTTCATATATCCCTTGCTTTGAGGCACTGCCTGTGTTCCCAGCCCCGGCTACCTGTGGGAGCACCAGAAATTTTCCATGTCCCTAGCTTTTTTTTGTTTTGTTTTGTTTTGGCATCAATTTCTTCCAGACCTGAAACTTTGTCTTCAGAATGAATGTTGGTTTTTCCTGAGTCTGTTCCAAGCTGCCTTCGCATGCTTCCTGTTGCTTGAGCAACTGCTTTATCCAGTGCCCTGAGAGAGGCTTGGTTTCAGTGTTTGCAGGCTGCGGATGCTGCTGTCCCTTCCAAGTTTGATCCTTTGGGTCTGTTCCTGCTGCTGAAGATCATTTACAGATGTGTCAGGCTGAACTCATAGGCCAGGGCTGGGGTTCAGGACATACTCTCACACTTGTTAATATGGAACTGGGAGGGGTTTTGTTTGAAAGCAAGTTAACTCCGTTCTCAGGAGCAAGAACCTTTTCCTCTGTAAATATTTTAGATATACTTAAAGTGATAGATTGGAAAAATGTCTACCCAGCCTTTGTTTTTGAACAAGAGCAGGCACATGGGAGCAAATGTCTTACTAATCTCATTAAGGGCTGACGGCAGCTGCCAAGTGGGATGACCATGTCTGGCTCCTGCACAAGGACAAGGCAGAGGACGGTTCCTGCTCCAAAGAATTTAGCCTGAGAGAATTTAGTCTGCATCACAAACATTTCTGGGCATAACCCTTGTTTTTCCTCCTGTAAGCTAACGAGAACAACCCCAGCACTTGTGTTAGTCGGAATGTTTGGCCTTTCACACTGGACCAATGTGCTCCAGGTCCAATAGAACTGAAGGAGGCTGACTCTGAACAGAAAAAGACTAATTTAATTTGTAGTAAAACATTAAAGGGAATTGGATTAACCAGACTTCTGTTAATATTGTTGATGCTTGGGGTGTGTTTTATCCTTGTGACACAACATGCAATCTTGTACATGCCAGCACACACACACACACACACACACACACCACCCCTCTCCCTCTTCTTAAAGCCTGGATCTTAGTTAATGGAAATTCAGGAGCTCAGTGATGCTGGAATGAGGGCCCATGGAGTGACTGTTGCTATTTACGCTTTGGGCAGCTTCTCAAGTCAAATTCAGAGACTGACAAGGTTCCCTCACCTCTCCCTGTTTTTGTACCTGGTCCATTTCTGTAACACATGGGTTGGAGGTGCCCGTGGGAAGGAGCTGCTGGGCCCATTGCTGCTGGGATGGAGGGCGATTCGGTGATGCTGTTGCTTCTAAGCACCCTTGAATGAAACTTCTAAAAGAGCTGCAGAGACAATGAGCGTCTGTGAGGTGCCTGCATTTGGAGTGTCACACTTGTGGCTGTCTGGATCCTTTGGGAAAAAGCAGAGAAAATGGATCTATTTATGTTGCTGTTTACACTGGGGGAAGGGGGGACCCTAGGGTAAGTTTGTGCCTACTTAGCAAAAGTGCTCTCACGTGTTGCTTCCCCACTGCTCAGTGTTACAGCTGGTTGGCCAGGAGATGGTGGATCTGGACTTGTTGGCAGATTAGCTTTCCAAGTGCATTTTATGGTCTCTGCATAAAGTTTCCAGATCTGTGTCTAGGTGATACATTGCATATGTCCCAACCTTACTCCCTTTGGAGTTTACATCATTTGTTTTTAAACTTCCAGTATATTTTCTCTTCCTTTTCCAAGAGCTGTGTAAGGAATTAGCTGCTAAGCAGAAACAGGAGGGCAATTCTCTTGCTGATAAAGAGCTGATTTTGGCCACGGCTGCTGCTGAGTGCAGAGCCTCAATCTGTAGTGCAGCTTCTCGAGTAGCTGCTGTTGTCAGCTGCCAGAGGAGCAGTGCTAACACCTTCCACATTGCAGCACAGGCAGGGAGCCGGGTACCAACAAGTCGGAGGTGAGGCCAAAGTGGCAAAATCCAGATGGCCAAAAAGAGGTTTGGATACCTTGGCTATGTGGCTGCAACTGAGCCCATATCTTCCATATCTGGGGCTCTGGCTTCACAGAACCTCACCTCACCTATAGAGCAGGCAGCTCCTAGCGAGCTGCTGAGCCTGGTGCAGAAGTGAGGGGAATGCATCTGCTTTCTCAGCTGTCAAGAGATTGCAACAACAAATGTGGTTGGATGAGTCACGGTGTGTCTGTCGTGGTCTCTCTTGCCTATAGCTTTGTTTTGGCACTTATGCACCCTGTTTTGGGTAACAGCCTGCTTCCCATCCTGGCCAGCCTGGCGGGGTGCTCAGTAAATGTGTGCATCTTTATTCTTAACATTTCCATGCTCTTTGCCTGTGAGCTGGGAGAGAAGGGACTTGCATTCACCTGACATCCCAGAGGTTGCAAAGCTTCTCTGAAGTCACGCCAGTCACTGGGAACCTTGTGGGCAGAAGTGTGGAAGGGTCGTTTCTCTGCTCCTCGAGCTGGAGAGGTGGGATGCTGGACCTCAGGATGGTTGTGCTTTAAAGCTGGTTTCCAAAAGCAGGCTCATTGACCATTGCTCTGAGTGCTGAACTCAAGGAGTGTTGTTTCCTTCGGTACCAGGAAATCAGCATCACTTCTAGGGGCCAAGCTGACAGTTTCTGTTGATTGTTTTCTGTCTCTCTCTGCTGATCCCAGCATCCAGCTGCCTTTGCAGTACCCTGGAGAACTTTCTAGGCTCAGGTTTCCTGGGCCTTTGGCTTCTCCTGCTGCAAGGATCTGGCAGGGAAGCTGGTTTTACTGCAAGGAGCTGGGCTGGCTCAGAGCACCTCCCTTCTCTCCCTGGTTTTGTAGCAGCAAGCCCAGCTCACGGCGTGGGAACTCCCTAAGTGAGAAGAGGTGTCCTCTTTGCAAATTGTGTTTGTAGAGCCATGTGTTTTCCCCTTCAGGAAACTGAATCTCATAAAGCACAGGTTTCATGTCCTGCTGAGTTAAATAAGGGAGATGCTGGTCTTCCCCTTGGCTTTGAAGATTCAAACCAATGGTAGGTGATTTATTTTTTGTGCTGTCGCTTTGTCTGTAGGGAGGGGGAGGCAATATAAAGGCTCAGGGGTGCAGGGAAGTAAAGCTATACATGCATAAAGACTGTTTCAGTGCTGAACACTATAAATTCAGTGGTGGATTAAAAGAGAAAGAATGTAAATATGCAATTAATGCAGAATTTTATGGATGGTCATAATTTAATATATTGAGAACTCTGTAAATACTTGGGGAAAAAAAAAAAGTCTGTAAAGTGTGTAAATAAATGAGATTTGTATGTAAAGAAGAATAAAAAGAAAAGTTTTTACTTTTTGCAATGAAATGCAAATGTTACTGCACCTCTCCCCCTTTCCTGATTCTTATTTTCATGTCGTGTCTCAGCCACTGAGGGGTCATTTAAACCTTTTAGGACACTGTGCAAAGTTGGAATGCTTTGGAAAATGTTTTGCCAGTTTGAAGCTGGTTCCCAAAGCAAAGGTGCTGCAATGGACACCGTCTGTCTCTCCTTTCTTCCTACTAACAGTGTCTGTCCTTCCTTCACAATTCAGCTTATTTCAGCCAAGCACTGACAGAAGGGACAGAAGTTGGTAATTTCCAGAGCTGAATAAGGCAGGCAAAGGAGAGAAAGCTCCCGCTGTTACCAGGATAAAGTGCAAGCCTTTGGTAGGCACCCAAGAAGCCACGTTGAAGACCTTCAAGACGTGAGTCAGTAGAAAATGAGGCTTTGCTGCTTCTGCAGTGCAGACTTGGGCCTTTTTGGAGCCCGCCAGTGTTGAGCTGAAGCCTTTACACCCTCATCAGGTACCAGCATGGAACTCCTATCTCATGCTGAGGCTGCTGGCTCCCAGGGGTGCAGCAGACTGCAGTGAGCAGCAGGAAAGCTGCATTCCTCACACACTTACTAATGCCGGCTGGACATGAGTTTGTCAGCTCCAGGGTGGGGCTTGGACCTCGTGCTGTTAATCTCCACGCTTCAGACACTGGCTCCAGAAGGAGCCATTAGGGTAGGTTGGGAGGTTGGGAAATTGTGCTGCACCCCCCTTCACCAGCAGCCGTGCCTGACCTTGCCAGATGCACTGGCTGTTACTCACGTCTCTCCATGAGCCACGTGCCCTGGTTGTGACTCTTCCAGACCTGTTTTCTCCGAAAGCACTGTGTGTCCCAATTTTTCTTAATCCTCGTTGCTTCACTAAGGTCTGGTGAGGATGCTGTGGTGCCAGGGGCTGCTTAAGGCTTAGCTCTTCATTTCTGCATCGCTTTGGAAATACCAGTAGGTTCGCTGAGGTCTTCTCATCACTGCCTCGTTCATCATCTGCCAAGCTGCGGTGAGCTGGTAGGACTTGGGTCCTGATATTGTTCCTTTCTAGTTCTTTCTCCAGGTCTCCAGAGATGCAGCAGAGCTACTGGAGTGTCTTGTGAAGGAGGTGGGTTTGCCTTGACCCACACTCCAGGCCTGATGTTGACCTTAGCAATAAACGTGAACTGTGGTGAGATGTTAGCTCCAGATCCTGCTTGCAGAAGTTATTGAGCTACTGAAAGCATTTTAGACTCTAATAACCTAAGGACCTAATAAAGGAGTAGTTAATATGTGGAGGTAAGATCTGGTGGGGATGTAGGAGAGCAGTGGAGGCAAGAGAGCTGATGAGAGTGGTCTGAAGCAGAAGGACAACAGTAAAGCAGGGCCTGGAGAGCTGGGAAGGGAGGGGGGAAGGCAGCACTGACTGTGTGTGATGAACTTAGCTCTGCTAGCCAGAGCTGCCCCCCAGCTGACCCTTCAGAACAGTCTGTGACCCCCAGAGGCAGCTCCTGGAGTGGAGCTGGAAGGAGGAGGTGAGGGGGGTCTCCACAGGACTGTCTCCAGCACAAGTAGGGCAGCGTGTGACTGGGGACGCTGATCCTGAGCCCTCCAGGTGTCTGGCTGTGGCTGCAGCACAGTCTGTCCTTGCAGAGCTCATGGTCTGCTACTCCAGACAGACTCAAAGGCAGCTCTTGACTGCTAACTCCCCTTTGGGGGGCAATTTCAGCTCTTGATCTCGTTCTTCCTCACCCTTGTTGACAGAGGGAAGAGACATCAACCCTCTGCTACCTCTTCTAAGAGGGATGGAGGTGGCAGGAGGCTGCTCCCCACTGCCTGCTGCTTTCAACCAGTATACAGAGATAGGAGATGGACAAGGGCAGCCCTTACAACACTGCAAGCTGTTCTTAGCAGTTGGAGTTGCCTTTATTTCTAGAAGCACCTCAGTGACCAAGGAACACCCTTGTGTAAAACAGAGCTCTGCATTTATTTGTCAGTTGTTTGGGTTTTATTATTATTGTAGTTCAGGACAAAAGGTGGAAAAGGGACCACATAACAGATGGTTGAGGTGATGTCTGACGTTTGGAACGGCAGAGACTTGCGTGAAAATGCCAGTGCAGGGAATTAGGATTGATGCACAGGGTCTGCCTTGGGGAGAGGACCAAGGGAGTTCTTTGGCACTGTATCCACTTCTGCTTCTCCATCAAGTCTGATATGTGAGATGGGTGTGTTCCATGTGGCTCTGAAACTCCTCTAATAAAGAACTATGTTTCCTCCCCGATCTTCAAGCTGTTGGGTGTTCCTTGCTTTTGGGAGGTGCTTTAAATCTGACTGCCAGAGCTGTGGGCTGCTAAGAGCAGAAGCTGTCTGCACGATGCTGAGCTCAGGTCTTTCTCCTCTTTTCCTGTTGCTCACAGCACTGGAGCTGAGCTGGTCCCTGACTGATGAAGAAAAGAGGATCATCTTGGATGAGCACAATAAATACCGCTCGCAGGTCTCTCCTCCTGCTGTGGATATGCTGAAGATGGTAAGTGGCTTTTATGGCAGGGAATCCCAGAGTGGAATGGTGCAAGGTTTAACCTTAATGCCTGCAGGAATCGGGGTTTTGTCTGGGGGAGGCAGGGCAATAATTGCTTAGAGCTATTGATATCAATGGAGGGGTTCCCCAGATTGCCTCTACAAGGATGAGTCTCTTTTCATGCGTAGAGTTGACTGATCAGCTTTGGAAGTTCCTGAGCACAGTCTGTGTCTCCTGATGCTCTGTGAGAGCAGAGCAGCTTTCGCTCACATGAAGCTCATTCAGAAAGGCAGGTGTTGCCCTGAGCTGTGGTGCTGAGCAGGGCTACACAGCAGAGGGGGAATCCTATGCCAGCAGCTGGTGAAGCACTGCTCTGTGTGCTTCATTTACCTTTGCAGGTGATTGGGATCCAAAATTCAAGGGTGACCTCCAGGTTGTTCGGTTGGGGCTTTCTGTCATGTTCCTGAGCACCACGATTCCCACAGGTGTAACAAGATGCAGAAAAGTCAGGGAATTTGGAGCCAAGCTCTTAGGGAAAGAATGAAGGAAACAATTTCCCACATGTCTAAAATGTGGGTCAGGATCCTTAGGTTGGTGGCGATTTGAAGCAGGGAGTGCTGTAGCAGCGGTGGCAGATCGCTTGCTTGGAGATGTTCCCCTCTGCAGGGCTGCATTGTTTTCTTCATTTAATCCAATCTCCTTGAACACATGGGACCTCCTGACGCTGCAGATCAGGAGCACCACAGATGTTCAGTGTCGAGCAGCCCTGACAGTTTCTTGTTAGAGGAGTTCCATGAAAGCCCCATTCTAACTTTCCTCCCCAGGACACAGTACTGCTTGTGCCTTCCCCGTCTCTGACCTCACCTGCAGCTGCACCACGTTTCTGTTTGGGTCTGGTTGCTGTGGAAATAGTTAGATGATGGGGGGATTCAGAGCCTAAAGCCATTTATTTTAAACTGAGGCAAATGCTGCAGGTGCAAGCCCACTGTTTATGGAGCCCAGCTCTGTGCCAGAGGGAAACGGTGTGCGTTTCCCAAGCAGAGTTTCCAGCCCATTGCTCTGGCTTGGGGCCACGGTGGGAGCTCAGCTGGCTCTCTGTCCCCCACCCAGATATTTTGGTGCTTCCCCCACAGTGCTGCTGCTCAGGGGCTGTCCTTGTCCCCTCCACACCCTGATGGCCAAATGCCCTGCAGCAGAGCTGTGTTCTGTGCCACTTTGTGCCCAGTGCTGGCTTTAGTCAGGAAAGCCCCCTTAGGACCCTCTGTTTGCTGGGCTGCCTTCCAGCCTGCTGCAGAAGCAAAGCTCCATCAAATGGAGCAAGGATGGTCAAAGCAGCTGCAGCACAGGGCTTCCCACTCATCTCCCTGCACGAAAGCCTCTGGGGCCTCAGCTGATGGGGGGCCACTGCTGGAGGGAGCTCTGTGTGTCTGTCAGGGGAGATTTGTCCTGCTCCACTCCTGTCCTCATCCCCGCTCCTGTGTGACCCAGGGTCCTCTTGTCCTCTATCAGACTTACAGCTCTCCGTGCTGAGCATGGACATTTCAGGTGCTCCAGGCAAGGCTGAGAATTGTGCTGCTGCTCTGATCTACCCCTGTTTGATACGTTTGGTTTGTGCTGGGATGGACTGAGGAGATCCCTTCCCCCATGCACTCCTCAGAAGGCACTCAGGGCACCCTCATATTGAGTAAGGATTTGAATATGACTTCTGAATGGGAGAATCATGACCAGGCAGCTCAGGAGTCCTTCTTGTGTGTGTCAGAGAGCCCCGTGTCCCTCTCCATTTACTGACACTGAGCTCCTTGCAGAGCTGGGACACGGAGCTGGAGGCCTTTGCCCAGGCCTATGCAGAGAAGTGCATCTGGGACCACAACAAGGAGAGGGGCCGACGGGGGGAAAACCTCTTTGCTATGGCCCCGATGCTGGATCTGGAATTCGCTGTGGAGGACTGGAATGCGGAGGAGAAATTCTACAACCTGACGACTTCCACGTGTGTCTCTGGGCAGATGTGTGGCCACTACACCCAGGTACCGACCTGCTGGGGCAGAGGGGAAGCTTGGTGGGGAAGGATCTGTATCAGAGCCCTGGGTCCTCCCGGAGTCTTTGCAAAGAGATGGGGAATCTGTGCTGGGCACCAGCCGGGAATCACTGATACAGGGGGACCTGGGCACGGTGCCTTTTGGATAAGACCTGTTTGAAAATAGCTCTGCAGCTGTTTTTTGGCAGTGCAGCAGAGCTGGGTGCCAGCTTGCCTCAGGCAGAGATGAAATCTGAGTGTGTCTTTGCAGTGTGAGTGAGTGGTGGGAGTGGAGAGGAGCGTAGTCAGTGGTGGTGAGTGTCAGGATGGATCTATGAAGGAGCTCTGGATCGAAACAGAGGTGGTGATGCTATGGAGTAAAAAGCTGTGGCCCTAGGCTGGGGAGGTGCTCCAGACAGATGCAGCTTCCAAGGCCACAGTATGGCCTGTCGACAAGGCTTCTGCCTTCATCATCACCTCACCTTCACCCCTGGTCTTTGTCCTAGGTGGTCTGGGCAAGCACGCACCGCATTGGCTGTGGGTCAAAGTTTTGTGAGAAGATTGAAGGAATTGAAACAGAGGACATGTACCTGCTTGTCTGCAACTATTATCCCCCGTAAGTCCCATGCCTCACATGATTTGGTTCATCTTGGTGGGGCATCTGTGCTGGAAATGCCCTGCTATAGTCCCTATAAAATGGCAGGAAAAGCCTTTGGACTTGCTCAAAAATAAAGGCAAAGCAGTTTTGAAAAAGGTCTTTGTTATCTTGGGTTGGTCGTAAAGGAAGGAAGGGTTGTTTGGTGATCCTTAGCCATGATTGTGATTCCTGCTGTCTGGTTCAGCTCCTGGCACAGACCAGGGAGGGAGGTCCCCCAGGAAACTGCCCAAGGCTGGTGCTGCAGCAGCTGAAAGTACAAACATCACCTGCTTGCTCTGTGCCTGGTGCTTCCCAATAGAGCAGTGATAGCCTGGTGAGGGGGGAACATGTTTTCTACCAGCAGAACGGTAAGATGTGGGAGGAAGGGTGGCTGTGAAGCCCTGGGATTAACCTTGGGGATCACTGACTCTGAGATGGAGAGCAACAGCAGACCTTCTTAGGAGCATTCAGCAAAAGGGAGACAAAGGCATTTCCAAATGCCCACTGACTGCTCTTTTGTAAGGGGCAGTGAAAGACCAGGTCCACGGAACTGTTTCCCTTGGTTTTAGCAGTCTTGGGTTCAGGACATGGATCAAGCTGTGCTGATCCAAGTGTGTGGCAGAAGACATGCTTAAATTCTCAGTTTTGTTTTGGCTGGGATATTCCAGTTGAATCAGACTCCCTTTTGGGGATGGGTGTTTTCTGCCCTGTCCTCACGTTTTCTTTTTCTTGGTGTCTTCTGCTTCCAGGGGTAACATGAAAGGCCGGAAGCCATACAGGGAAGGACCCTCTTGTTCACAGTGTCCCGAGGACAGAGTCTGTGTCAACTCCTTGTGTGGTAAGTGAAGCAAAGCCATGCATGTGCCTTGTCAGGCTGTTGGGACTGAGACCCCTGGGTTGAGGTCCACGTTCTGAACCTGGACCAGCAGCTTCAGGTCTGGACTAAGAGATGTCATGTGTGATGGCAGCCCCTGAGAAAGGTCAACTGCCAAAAGATGAGGAGGATCGAACAAGGACCTCAGACCTCCCATAGCCAGTGGTTATTGCTCCATGAGGATGCCCCGTTCTTAAGGGGAAGGAGGTTGTGTAAAGGAGATGAGATTTCTCAGTGTTAAGAATTCTAAAGTGGGAGATGGCCCAGGGTGACCTAAGCAGCCTCTGGCTGCTCCTTCTACGCGCTGTTGACTTTTGCTGGCCCTGATCAGTTGAGGCCAGCTGACCCCTGTGCTAACCCATGGCACTTTTCATCTCTTACCAGAACCCACTATAGAAGAGACCACTCCACCCTCTGTGACAACAAAGGCAAGCCCATCCACCCCAGTCACACCAGAACACACTACATCAGCACCCACCACAGTCACAGCCAAGCCAGAACCCACAGCCATGCCCTCAACCACCACAACAGTAGCCAGCACAGCCAAGGCAGAGCCAAAACCTGCTACAACCAAGCCATCATACACCACACCGGTACTCACTACTGCTACATCCAAGCCAAAACCCACCATGCTAACAACCACCACTACAGCCAAGCCAGCACCCACCACACCAAAACCAA